TCGGTGACCTTTTCAAGGTAAAAAAGGTCAAAAATATCTTTTTTCAACTTGCTTCAATTGACCAATTCTTTTTTCAAAACTATCTAGAAGTTCTCAAAAGTTCAAATCTGACTATAGATTTGACCTTCAATGACATTTTCAAGGTCCAAAAAATATTCGACCTTCTCAAGGTCAAAAAGGTCTGTCATGGGAATTTTTGATGTGTGGGCAGGGGGGTGGGTTCGAGCCCCCCCCCCCCCCATCCCTTACTAAAAGCTGGCTATGGGCATGTTGTTCATATTTCATGTGAGGAATGAAAGATTGCAATTGATGCAATCATTTTTATTGGAATCGATATAAAAGTATTCAGGCACTTACAATGACTAAGATGTGCAAGCAACATTTATCATTTCGGGTAAAGGCCAAACATTCATCAAAAGGAACGACAAACGGCTTCAAAATATAATATCATGGAAAAACACGCAGCGTGGGCAATGAGAGAATGAGAAACATCATTCAAAGTTGCATGGTTATATGTCGGTCATGGAAATAAAAGGAAAGCATAGCATGTTGAATAGAAATGTAAAGGTTACATGCATCGCTATTCCCACAAATGTCATCATCATATTTGAAACTGAGAGTGAAATAAATATATTGTTTCTTGGTTTGGCAATGACTCATTCTTTGCTGTAATTTAAATATAAACATAAAAATACGAATACAACTAAATTTTGATTTAACTTTTATATTTCACATAATTTTAAAGTCATTTTGTATCCTCCAACACATGCTTAATAAAGTTTTACAAAGACAATTCAAATAATTTAAAAATTAAATAAAAATGATCTAAACACTTTTATTAAGTACATACTTTCATTTCTCAAAATAATAATCTAGAAATATTTTTTCCCAAAGATGATATTTTAATGTTTGGAGGATACAAAATATTGGACAGCTTAATCTAGACAACTTGAATTCACGACAGAAATACCTACACTCAATCATATATCTCCATTGTCTGCAATCGAAGATATGTTATCAAAATGTACCTTCTGGCATAGCTTTTACCAAAATAATGCATCAATAGTGTATAGTAATAATGGCCGATGTGTTGGAGGATACAAATGTTTGACAAATCGTATACATTTAGTAAAACATACTTAATTATTTGACTAAGGCATATCAAACATCCCGCTTTCAAGAGTTAGTAATTTTATTAACATGCTCAAAAATATCAACGCAATCAATACATTTTAGAATAAATCCGAGTTTATATTTGCCGAAAGTATAAAATATTTCTTAATTGTCCAAAAATCCATCATTAACGTGATATTTTTAAAAAAGATAAGCAATGCTCAAAACAGGTACCTTGTGATAATGATTGCTTAAAGTCTGGTCAATTAAAAATAACACATTGCATGTCCATGAAATCAACATATATGTCGCAGTCTCTAGTACAACACCAGATTTTTAAAATATCAATTATCGTAAATTGTCCATTAATAGAAACCTGTATTTATTATTCTTTCAGGGTGGTCATTGGTACAAATAGTGCCAATACTTTTGGAAGTGCCGGGAGTGCAATATATTCTGTGTAAGAAACTCCTCTGCCAGAATAGGGTGGAGGAAACAATACAACAAATGTTGCAGATTTCATGAACAATGAACTTGTATATAAGGTTGCTACGGTGAATGCTGCGCCTAGTATGCAGGGTATTGTAGGGGGAGACTTAACTACAATTGCATTGTTGACAATACATCACTCCAAAAACAATGAAGATGACTTAGGTAGAGAATTTGGAACTGGACAATTTATCAGTTGTTCATTTATCTATGCAACAGACTAAGTAAACACAATTAACTGAACGATTATTTATATGTGTGAAAACTACATGCATTTGTATAGAGCAACTTCTGCGTTCAGGTTTAGGTTTAAGATTTGATTAAGTCTCAAATGAGTTGATATATAATGTACAGATTACAACGATATTTAGTGTGACAAGACCCTTTAATGTACAAGCTAAGTTTATGTATGCATTTTCAAAACAACCTTTATCGAAACATCTCTAAGATTGAGTTATCGACTTTAATAAATCTAAGAATAACAGATCCTAGAGTAGCCCAGCTAAAACGTCTTTCTACAGGCATCTCTATAATTCATTTGTCAATGATTTTGTAACGAAGCTTTTCAAATGTACTTAATGACCTTTTATGGTTGTTATTAGAACATCAGTTACTTATTTGTATATTACGCTGAGTTGAACAGGGATATGTGTTTAAAATGAATTCTGAAAATGTATTTCATAAATTATAGCTATAGATGATCATGATCTTCACTATGAAGGTATAGACAGCAACATGTACACTCCCCTCCATAAGTTTGGCAACCTTTTTTCTCCATTGAACTACGTGTTAAAGCCTCTTTACGTTTGAATTTTTATTTACTTAACCGGCAATGAAATAACTTATAATATTGATGGAAACGTAACTTGACTTTATTTCCAATACCTCCAAATTTTTTCAATTTTTTTCCTCAATTACAATAGGTCGAAAATTGATGATAAATTTGATGAATTTTTGAAAATCGTCATTCCCATGTAATCCAATGGGAAATGGAGGGTTCGGGGCAAATCAGAAATCGGGATATCTTTTCAGTAAAAGATTCAGCAAAAAATATTTTTATATAGAAAATTGAATTGTCTAACTTATTTGAACACTAAGTGTTTAGTTTATTTGATGAATATTAAAGTTACAGCGCATCAAAGTCATTTTTGAAAATAATTTTTCGCCTCCTGTGTTATTTCAATGGGAGAGGTTTTTTGAAAAACAATTTTGACTTTAAAGCCATATAACTTTGTTGAACCTGAAGAAACATATCAATTTTTTGTTAAATAAAGTTAGCAAATTCAATTACCTGCCTAACTCGTATTTTTTGCAAGGACTCGGATGGATGGATATTCTGTCATATGACTTGCGGCAAACCTACCATTTCCCATTGGTTAACATGGGAATGTCGATTTTCAAAAATTCATCAAATTCATCATCAATTTTAGACCTACTGTAATTGAGGAAAAAAATGAGAAAATTTGGAGGTATTGGAATTAAAGTCAAATTACGTTTCCATCAATAGTATAAGTATTTTCATCGCAGGTTAAGTAAATAAAAATTCAAAGGTAAAGAGGCTTTAACACGTAGTTCAATGGGGGAAAAAAGGTTGCCAAACTTATGGAGGGGAGTGTATATATTAGAATCAATTACCAGGTTATACATTTTTATCAATAGACTTAAATACTACCTAATATGATAGGTAAAGAACAAATTTTCATTAGGAACTCAATTGCAAATCGCATCATAAAATGTGTAAGTAATGATAATGTATGTGCATATTGGAGTGATGTTTGTCTCGGATGAAAATAAAGTGCAATGGAATAGTATATCCTGTTAGTTTTTCTTACTGTTTGGTGAATGATGCAAGATGGAAAAAGATCAAGACTAATGCACCATTCAAATCTTAGTGTGCGACACCTCCCGCGCCTCTTTCCACAAGAATTTCTATTTGTGAAGTTAAATCAATTAAGAATATTTATTTGGCTTTTGGAATGAGTTTGAATGTGAAACAAATGTAAATTTCTACTTTGGTTCAGCCTTCAGTAACATACATGTAACTGCCAATATGTAATACGCTCCAATACGATTTTTTCCCGTGGACAATACGATTTTTTAACATAATACTTTTCAATACGATTTTTATTCCTTCATATTTCCCTGGGAAAACAGTAGTATTGTGGAATAAAGCAAGATACTGGCTGATGACAACTCTTGAAAAAAATGTTTCAACTATAGAACATATTGGGCTTATATCATCATACCTTGGGAGAATTTAAACAATTTTCCCCACGTTGCCACTTTGAATAACTTCATCAATTTATCTTTTGGGAGATATCATATTTGAGACATTTTTTCAATCAAAACTGAATGAAATCTTGATAGGTATTATGATTTCCCCTCTAACTTCACCTTGCCTAATTTAAGCTCACGACTATGCCTCTATATTGTATATTTTTTACCTTTTTTCCAGTAAAGTATGTGATGGATAATTTGGGATCATTTAACCAAGCTATTTACTACAGTAAAACCTGTCTAATCCGAATACCACTAGCACTGGTCAAACATGTTTGGATTTGGATGTTTATGTTTCAAGGTTTCTTTAACAAGGCACTCAATGGAAATTTACAAAGTGTTCGCATTGAGAGGTGTTCAAATATACATGTTTTACTGTATTCTTTCTGTCAAAGGACAAGACACGGTTTGGAGAACTGTCTCCGGGGCTAAGCTAATACTTTTTAATGAAAAATATCACCTAAATGAATATTCATAAGACGACATTTAAATCGACAAGCTGTAAGAATATCACAATTGTCCGAAGCAGGGGTAATGTGCATTAAACTGATTCAATAAAACCCAAGTCTCGATTTCTAGAAAGAAGTTCATCAGTGTACTGCACTAATAGTTTTTAATGAAAAATCTAGAAATATCACCCAAATTAAATTATGACTATTCTAATACAAGTGTGAAAACTTGTATGCATATCAAACAAAAAAAATGAGGCCATTAAGTGAAAAATAATTTGAGGAAGATTTTCTACAAGAAATGTAATTAAATATGTAGAATTCTCTTTCTGAGATCATTACAAAACAAAATATGTAGGATTGTTATTGTAGGCCTAATATTTATTTATTCATCATTCAATTCATATCATGTATGTTACTGCATTAAGTTATCTAATCCTATAATGATGTCAAATGATGTCATGATTCCCATAGCAACAACAAAGGCTTGGGAAGGTTTAACTTTTTACTCTGGAATAGTCAGCACCATTAGCTCTACTTCAAAGAAACCACACAGTGAGATATTACATGAATGCTATATTAATATGCGAAAATAATATTCTTTGATCAGAACATATTGTATGCTATATATACACTGTAACAAATAGTATTGCTTGTTATTATTACAAACTCCACAATTTGTGTAAATTGCCAAATGAGACTATGATGTCCATGAACTTGCAGAAAGTCTGCGATCAGACCTATTAAGTTGTGACTGATTTGTGGAACATGTTGATTATTGACTACTAGAATATGTTAAAATTTCCTAAAATGAATCTTGTATTATCAAGAATCCTTAGGTTTATCACTGGCATTAGAGTCTGTAGTGTTTTCTTGTTTTGTTTCTATGTCTAATTCTGTGTCTATTCTCTCTTTTGCTCGAACAACCTGAAAAAACATGATATTATAACACAATATTAAAACTTCTGAAGTGTCATTGTTGACATAAAGATTTAAGCTGAGGTACTGTATTTGTCTTTAATTTGGCGCTACTTAGTTGGCAATTTTGGGAGATCAGACATATTGGTTCTCTATTTAATATGGCAGTTTTCAAGGGATTAATCTCATGTCTAGCTATCATATTTCATCCCATCTAATCTAGTTCAATTGTTATTCAGTTCAATTCTCTGGGATTTTGGCGACAATTTGAATTGGCGATTTTTTTGATCATTTCGCAAAGAGTAAAACGCTCACCAAATTAAAGACAAATACAGTATGTATAATGTATTGTAAATCATTATGGAAAACGAGACTATGTGTCAAGGATTATAGTGGAAGGATATAATTTTGTCAGTCAATGGTCAAATTCTTACTGTAGACTTTTGCATCAATCCAATCATACAAGAGGGCACTTACTTTTGATTGAAGATAGAATGATCCTCCTTTCTTACGATCATTTACATCAAATAAATGTTTATAGGTCTTTTCTATTTCTTGAATATCTTCTTTTGTTAATATTTTGCCTCTTTCTAGATTTAGAATCTGCTTAGCTTCCTACAAAGTAAACAAAATGAATGTAGCTTGTATACAAAAATGCAAATAATGACTAGCAGTTAACAGATTAACCTACTTTTTTATGACCAACTCATTTAAGTATGAATGGAATAGTGCCAATTACTATTCATATTAAATGAGTTCCCCATAAAATAGTAGGTTAATCCGGTAGCCGATAGCCAAAGCTGAGACTATACATCATGATGCATACTGTAAATCCTAGTGAACACCTCTCTCTATTGAACACTTGTGTGACAACAGTGGACAACTTCCTCTGCACATAATCCACTGTCTTCTGTATAAATTTCCCTCTCTGTAATTGAACACTATGTAATGGACATATGTGTTCAATGTAAACAGGTTTTACTGTAGCTTTGGTCATACTAGATAACAAATCATATAGTATACAAAAAAGAAAAAGACAAAAGTCATTTCATTTTATTTTTTAAAGGATAACTCCATTGTGATATGGCTAGATGATCTTGTTGACATGAGTAATTGGTTTTCGAATACAAAAATAATCTATACTTGTATTACTATAATGAAATTGTCAAAGAAATTAAATATGTCATCAAATAAAAATATTCTAATCTCCTGAAATCTTGTCAAAGACTAGCTTTCTAAGCAATATAGCAAATAATGCACAAAATAATGAAAGTCCATTGCTGTAATCAATTGAAAATAAACAGTACTGTACCGTTATTTTTAGTAATTTCTGGTGGCGACATTATAAAAAGGACTGATATGACCTTGTACAAAAAATTAATTAATGAATTTAATCATGTGTACTCCCATCTTACCTCTAATGTCATCCCTAAGTAAGTATCTTTAGCTGCTGATTTAGAACTATCACCTCCAGATGTAGATCTCCTGGCCTCTGCAGCTTGTTGACTTGTTCTGATTTCCTGCTTTACAGCTCTAGCTAGAGCTCTCCCTACTATCTGGACCCCCGTCACCACAATCTGCGCTATATATTTAGGCTGGAAAAGATTTCGTTAAAATGTCTAGCTGTTTTTTAAACTAAACATGAACATTTAGAGGGTGAGCCAAAAAAGGTAACCCAAACAAATTTATGTAAATAACTCAATCATTCAGCACGGCACGATTAAACCTTCTTCAGAGTTCTTTTAATTCTACTAAAATCAATATACATAATGGTCACAATTTTTGTGGCCGTTAAAAAAACATACACCGAAATGTGTCACACTCACAAACATAACTCCTGCCAGATTTTTATCTGTGAAGCTAATATCTACACTAACAACTCTTGAATTGAAACAAGGGACCAGAAGGATCGATGAGACTGATTACACAAGATTTGTCTGCTCGCGTAGTGAAAAACTTTGCCCGAATGGTTCAGTCAGTATTTTACATAAAAGTTGAGTGGTCTGAGAGTAAAAAAAGAGATTAGTTGGTTATCAAGAAAACAATCTTATTGTATCACGGTTGTTTTCAATAGTTTAAAGCTTTTGTTTACCAATTATCACACACAAGTCATATTGATCCATTGTTTGACTTTTGTGCATATAAATTAAATCTCAGACCACATTTAACTATAAGTTTAAGGTCCATTTGTGACAAGTACATCTACTGGCATTATCTTTAATATTTAATTAAGTTTTTTAATGATTTCAGTCAGGGCCCGCCCCCTCAGATTTTGAAAGAGGGTCAAGGGTCGTTACACCACCAAATCTCTGGGGAACTCAACATGATTTTTAATCCTGGGGCTATGGAAAAAATACTATCATCTCTGAAAGCTTCTTCCCTGTGATTATATTAATTCTACGGGGACACTACAGAAATCACAGGGGGATAGATCTTATAATCAACACTTTCTTTGGTTGTAAAAAAATTTTAGAAAGCTCAGCGCTCTAAAAAGAAAACAATAGAAAATAGTAGATCTGAATAGCTCCCTGTGATTGAAATCAAGTAAACATTTATTGTTATTAAATCATATTCAGAATTCATTGCCTCATAGAGTGAAACGTGTATATAAACATGTCATTGTCAACCAGTTAAATCATGTGGGCGATAATAGAGTAAAATGTGACGAAATTCAAGTTCAAACGTCTTCAGAAAATCGGAAATGGCGAATAATATGAAAAAGATTATAAAACCACTGCAAAATATGACCTTTACATCTGTACTTCATCATGCAATCTATTTGTTACTAAAAATACTTATAAAAAGAGTATTTACCAGCATTACGAAAAATGACTTTTTAGTCTTTTATTGCGCATCCACTTCTGCGCAACTTGCACAACTGCTTCCGGTCGGTATTTCTTTCCAGATTTTTGTTAGTTTTTGCAAGATTGTAGTGTATTTAGAATATAAGTGAAGTAGACATCACATCAAAATGCCTAAGGACAGTATCCGCGATAATCTGGAGGGAAATGAACTGGACTTGAGTCTCAGTAACCTCACAGTAGTACCTGTGAAAGAAATGGTAAGAATTAATTCAAATTATCGCCCACTTTGAGTTTGAATTTTTATCAGGGGGGGGGGATTTCCCAAAGATCACCTTTATTGGCACGTTCGATAACCTCATTTGCCATTGAAATGGATCTCTCAATGTTTGCTTGTGTTTTATGAGTATTCTCTGAAAGTTTGGATCGAGTAACTTCAATAGTATTACTGTGGTTTTGAAATGTTTTTGTTGAACTGATGTAGGCATAAATCTGAAATAAACACCATTTCAACGATTTCAAATTTTACTTTGAGCATGCGGCACTGAGAAAACACGAGCTCAAGATTGTCCACGTGATCACATCATGCAATTTGATTGGAAATTGTATAATTGGGAATCCCCGAATACGATAGAATCTGAAAGAATCATGGGAGCTACTCACTTTTTCTGAATTTTTATGTTGTTCCATGAGTGTAGTGTACGGTAACGACATATGTTGGCATTGCATATCGTGGATGATGGCAAGATTCTTTTGTAATAGAATCAGAAGCTCAATAACTATTCCCCAAGATGAGACACTGATTCTTGTTCCGGGATGATGTGTGTCCAAATATCATTGTAATGCTGACGTCAAATTTCTGAAATCACGGAAGAACCTTCAGATTTTGACAGAAACTCTCCCGTTGATAAAACATCACTATTTTGGTATCTTACAAATGCAGGATTGTTTATATACCATTTATGTCGCATATCATGTTAGTATTCTATAAAGTGCTAAATGTATGGGAGCACTGAGTTTAAAATAAAATAACTTCTGGTAAGTGGACACTAAGTATATTACATGGCTGTCAATGTGAATTGTTGAAAAACACCCAGACCTCTCAACTAGATATCTAGTTCTGGTAAAGTGCACAAGACATATCGAAATTGCAATATGTACATGTACTACAAATACCTTTGTTTTGAATATTATCTGTCAAATAGCAAAATTGAAATTGAGTGTTAGGAATACCATATGTTTTGAAAATATGTATCTGATGGAGAACTTGGAGCAAAAAAGATATTGCAAAATTCTTTCAGAAATCTACCATCAACTCAATGATATCCTTTTTGCAAAAAAGACTTTTATGTCACCACCAAAAAGTGATGACATACTAGTATTGTTATGGCCTCCTTTTGTGTCGGGGACTGTAACAAATTCTTACAACTTCCAATTACTTTTACACTGACTTCAATTCTTTCAAAATCATCTACAAGTTTACTGAAGTTCAAATCTGACTTAAGATTCAAGGTTTGACCTTCAATGACCTTCTCAAGGTCAAAAAAGGTCTTTTTTCAACTCGCTTCAAATTGACCAAATTTTTTTCAAAATCATCTACAAGTTCTCTAAAGATCAAATCTGACTAAAGATTTAAGATTTGACCTTCAACGACCTTCTCAAGGTCAAAAAGAATTGACCTTCTCAAGGTCAAAAAAGTATTTTTTCAACTTGCTCCAATTTGACCAAAGTTTTTGAAAAAAACATCTTCAGGTTCTCAGAATGGTTAAAAGGTCTTTGCTTCAAATTGACCATTTTTATTTTCAAAACCATCTACAAGTTCTCAAAAGTTAAAATCTGACTATAGATTTGAGATTTGACCTTTAACAACCTTCTCAAGATTCATAATATTGTGAGCAACTAGGTGGTGACATTTTGTCATATTAATACCTTGTTTGAAATGAGATATGCATACTTGTATTGAACAATTTTGGGAAACAAATGAAATCGATATAGAAAAATTTATATCACAGGTTACAAAGCTTGAGCTTCAGTATCATTGGGGCTACACTTGACTGAATGTTTCTACTTTCAGTTACAACTTAGAAAGGCGACACACATAGATATGTCCTGTAATCTTCTGTCAGTGATTCCTGTAAGTATGATGTCCTCATATTTCATAGAGCATCAAAATGTCCTCATCTTCTGCTGTTTTGTCAATACATAAATAATGCCAAAATGATTTCTCTACACTGCATGTAAATAATTTAGCATATAAGTACATTTGTATTATTATTCGCTAACATTTACCTTCACATAATTTAAATGCTCTGCCTCTCATGATGATATTGTCTGACCTTCACAAGCATTTCATTTTATACTCTTTTGAAGAGTAAATATTGTGTTGAATATTGAATAAAAGTACAGTATTGTAATGTCATGATGATTGATATTGTCAATTTAAAATAATGTGCACTCACAGTTGATTTATTGAACATCAATCACCCTCATGTTTGATAAGTGTAATATATTCTTTTATGTTTGATCAGATCAAATGTCCTCATGTTTGATTATATAAAATGCCTTCATGTTTGATAAGATCAAATGCCCTAATGTTTAATAAGATCAAATGCCTTCATGTTTGATTAGATCAAATGCCTTCTTGTTTGATTAAATCAAATATCTCCATGTTTGATTAGATCAAATTGCTTCATGTTTGATTGAATCAAATGTTTTTATGTTTCTTAATACCAGTTGCCCTCATGTCTGATAAAAGTAAATGATTTAAGAATGCCCTATATTTTATAACTTCAAATGCCCTCATGTTTGATAAGATAAAATTCCTTCAAATCAATGATTTAAGAACATATACCTTCACATTTGACAAGATCAAATGCTCTCATGTTTTATCAGATGAAGTCAGTAAGTGCTCTTATGCCTTAACTTTGTTTAAATGCCTTTTACTTATAGGATGACTTTGTTAAGATGGAGTGGATTGTGAAGCTGGATTTGAGCAAGAATAATATCACTAGGCTGCCTGAAGATATAGGCAACTTACAGAAACTACAGCATCTGGATTTGTTTAAGAATAAACTCCAGGTATATTGATTGTCAGTAAGGCCATTCGAAGTGAAATATATGTTTACTGTCCTATTCCTTCAAAGACTGAAGCGAAGGACTAGGTATATTAATTCAAAAGCCATTCAGTGAAATATATGTTTCGCATTATCTCCGTTCAAAGACTGAGCCAGAGCATCAGATCTTTTCATGATGAGAAAACAAATAAAACATTTTTAAGGGAAATATATGTTCAATGTCCAACGTCCTCCAAGATTGAGGGAAAGGATCAGGTATTTTGTTTTGAGAAAACAAATTGATAAAATATTTTGAAATACCTAGATAATGTACTTGCAATTAGTCTGAAGAGAATTTAAAATGATATTTATTTTATTAGGCCCTCCCAGTAAGCATGTGTCACCTTAAAAGTCTGAAATGGCTGGATGTGAAAGACAACCCCCTTGATGAGACTATGAAGAAAGTTGCTGGAGACTGTTTAGATGATTTACAGTGCAAGACATGTGCTAAGAGGGTATGTTATTGACAGAGTTCAAAATTACATGTGCCATGTAACAATCCTCTATACAAATTAAGAATTTAGGCTGCAAAGATTACCCTTTTATGTCACCAGCCATCCTCTAATCACAGGGCTTCAAAATCCAGAATAAATTCTTTCTTTTTACCCCACCAAACATGGTGACATATAGTTAAAGTCTCACTTTTTGTGGATGGTGTTTGAATGGCAGTTGGTGTTAGCCATTCGGCGGTTTGTGTTCGGTGTCTGTAACAAATGTTATTTTGGTTTAAAGTCTGGTTTAAAAGCATTCCTCCAGATTACAATAAATAATTTCTTAATGTTACAACAACAATGAAAACTTGTGGGTGCATGATTATTACCTTAATGAATAACTTTAGAATTTTACTCATCTTGCTTACGTTCAACCTGTTTAGACAAGGGTTCCACACTTAGGTTCAAGACATTCAGAGGTGGAGCCACTAGCTAGGATCTAAAATTAGGGGAAGCAAAACTCGATAGGCAAAGCATGGCAAATTTAAAATATATGAATTTTGGAGTGTTACACTTATATGGAGATGTTCCACTTTCATAGGTGTTTTTAACAGGTTTTACCTAACCATGTAATGATGTTTAATTGCTGTACTTATCTGCAATGTAGGTAGTTGCAGGCCTGTACCAGCTTTTGCCAGTGGGGGTTGAACATTTGACAACTTTGGCTTAAATCACATGAAAAGTATTCAGAAGTACAGAATGGTGAAAGACTGCATGATTTTGCAAGAACTTTTGGCTGTGGGTTGGGGAGTTTTCTAAGACCCCCTGAGCCCCACCCCCCTGGCTATGGGCCTGAGATGCTCCGAGTGTTATTGTGTAGTGATGTAAAATGTGATTTTCTCTCGTAGGTGGTTGTATTCATGAAGGATGTGCAGTCAGAGCAGGAGAGGAAACGACAGAAAAGGTTACAGGAACAAAGAGGTAACTGTTAACATTTCTTCATCAACATTATTATTAAATAAATTTAATTCTATTTATGGTGAATACCTGTACATCTTTCACAAGTGATATTCCATGAAGCCCGGAAGAGTCTAGTGGAATATCATCTTAGGAAAGTGTCAAAGGTATTCACCAAAAATAGAATTGAATATTTGTTTTATTATTCACTGTTGTATTCCTCACTACATTAATGGAATAACAAACTATTGTTGTCTCATTAATCATAGCAATGTACTCCCTGTGATATATGTAATTAAAATTACACTTGACTAAGTCGTTACTGGTGAATATCATTTGATATTCAATGGAAGTCACGTGACTTTTGTTGAATATCGCTTGTTATTTTTTAGTCACGTGTAGGACATGGACCAATCAGAGAGTGAGGAATATGACAGCGATATAATAATATTATATACATGTATGTGATTACTTTTTGTGTCACTTGCAGAAGTGGTGACATATTGTTATATTTTTTTGTGGATGGTGGTTGATGTTCGGCGTTTGATGGTCTGTGTCTGTAATTGGTATCTGTAACAAATGGCAATTGGTGACATTTTGCATATTTTTTAGTTTAAGAATTGCTCTATTATAATGTAGAGGCAAAGGATCCAGGAATCCCAGTCATACTTTTGTAAAGATGAAACAGATGATAAATTGTCTTTGCAGAACTAGACGAAAAAAAGAAAATAGAAGATGAGAAACTAAGACAACAGAAAAAGTTAGAAAAGGCAGCCGAAAAAGAACGCAAACGTAAAATTTTCCTTGAGGAACAAGAAAAGAAGCGCCAGGAAGAACTTGAGGCTGCAACTGACCAATACCATGATGCAAATGGTAACAATTTGAAAATACTGTAAAAATTTGTACAGTAAACCTATAAAGTGGAACACCTCTGCAAGACGAACACCTCCATAAGGGGATGTAAAACACTGTTCTGAGGTACCAAAGGTGTTCCACTCGCAATGGTTTTGCTGTAAAACCTAATTCAAATAACAAGTTTTTTTATGAATCTTGTCATTGCAATTCCAGGAAAACAGGGCATTTGCCTTCTTTGAATTCACATGATAGAGCTGATTAACTTGAAGGCAGCCATCTTGTTTTCTGGTGGCCATTTCAGAGGATTTTTGATAAATCTTGACGTTGCAATTCCTTCTAGAAAAATATGAAATACATGGGTTTATGATAGATTACTAGTAATGATATTATACAATGGAAATCTAAATTGTCATATGATTTCAGAGACAAAGATGAATGGACATTTACAGAAGTCATCCAGTGGGAAAACAGGTACATATTTTCTGAACTTTTTTTTACAATTTTGCAATTTACTTTAAATATTGCTATGCTATTTTACACATATACTGTCACTGTGTGATGTTATAATCTTGACCTAAATTTGCCCATTGTCTGAGGCTTAGAACAACCTGTAAGCTTTTAAATACATGTATTTTTGTATCATGCAATTAATAGCTTAAATCCATCAAAGTAAAAAGTCGCAAAATTTCAAAATTATGAAAATATGACAAATCAGATGGTGCCAACCAAAATAACCAAGTAATAGTTCAAAATATTTATAATTTCATTTTATAAGAAAAACAATACTTATTACTTACTTACAATTCTGTTCTGATATTCTGTCTTTCAGGAGGTTTATCATGCTGTGGAATACTATTCGGGCTATTATTTGGTCTGATCGCAATATTTGCCAGTGCCTATGTATACTGTGAAGTAAAAAACACTATGCCAGCCTGCGTAGAAGGTCGTGTTAAAGTCATGCAATATATTGAACTTGTTCAAATCAAAACTTTGGATCTAGTTCAACATATCAAGGATAAAATGAAATAAATTTCAAAGTGACTTTAAAAATGGTTTGGGAATTTCTCGTAAAAATGTGATGAATAGTTGCAATGGCATTCAATAAGTTTATCATCAGAGAATTTTCAGATAAACTTTTTGAACACCCTGTACATGTATGTTTATGTTGGTGGAATTGTTATGCATTTCAAAAATGTATTCAGATAGGTATTATCACAGGGACTATCCAGGCTCCGCTGACATCGAAAGCAATGAGCTCATGTTAGAAGCGGGGCCTTGAGAGATATGATACAATTGAATTTTTCTACGAAACTTTAGTATTAAGTGAAACTCTGTACAGCTTTATTTCATAGTACAATGGCTATTTCAATTGCAGGGCAATGCCATTATTCAACTATAACTATATTTTATCATATCTCTCAAGGCCCCGCTTCTAACATGAGCTCATTGCTCGCGATGTCAGCAGGAATTTGCTCACGATATACGGGGCCTGGATAGTCACTGTGATTATAGGTAAGTTAAGAAATGTTTTACTCGGACACTTAGAACTTATGTTCAAAATATATTTTTGTTTTTTTTATAAGTTGAACTTGATATTTACTTATGATATCATAATATCCAATTTAAATGAGGATAGAAAATAAATATCTATCCAGCCCCATGAATTAACCATAAATTCTTACACATTATATATTTAGAACCTCAGTAGGTAAGAGATACATTGATTTACTCGTGCAATGTTTATCTTTGCACTGGTGATCCGCTCGGTTTGGGTTAAAAGTGCAGATCTTAACTGTTTTTTGAAAAACTGATACTGAAACATGTTTGTGTTAAACATGTCGTGAAGATTCTGCCTACAACACATGAAATAAGGAAAAAAGAAAAATCGTACCTTCAACGTTCTGACATTTTGTTACCAAAACGAACCGTTTCGGTAACCAGCATAATCGAGTGGATCACCAGTGCTTTGGAAAATCAGAATTGTTGATGGTATAAATCAGCCTTGTTTTAAAGGCCCCGAGAGTCCAACTAGCCAGAAATCAGTTGGAAAATGTAATGCCATGACTCAAAGTTTAACACTCTGGATGGATACCTCCCTCCTCGTGGGGACGGGTCATTACGGCTTGAAGCAAACTAATGCTATAATTGATTTCATTAAATTACTTATTCAACATGACTAAATACAAATAATTTGTATAGTTAGTTCTGTTCATTTTCTGTTGAGCTTGTTTTAAAAAATGTTATTAGATATGCTTCCATTTGACAATAAACCTCAAAGATTCTATGTTTATCTTCTCAGATGAGGTTGGTGAATCATAATACATGTTGGTGAATCATAATACATGTTGGGTGGTCATTGTGTAATGGTCTGTAAAATGGTCATTGTTTAATAATTATGCTAATCAAGGAATAATTAAATTGAAATGGATACTGTCTCAAATTGTGTAGATAAGTTACCATAATTTCAAATTTTGCATATGTACTTTAATGTTGTCATAGAAACCACTTTTATATGTTCAGGAATAGGGGAGTATGAAATTGTTATATTTTGCATTGAGAATAAATATATTTTCATGTAATCATGTGTTCGTTTTTATACGTACCTGATGGGAGGATAAAAACAATACCCAGGGTAAACATTGTCTAAGGTGTCCAATATACTGTAATGTCATCCAAAATTCATACAATAGTGATCATTCCAGCCAAACCATAACAAGTAAAATCTGAATGCCAAATGTTTAACCTCTTGACTACCCAGAAATCAGACAATTTGAAATGCGTCACTTTCGTTTTAACCTCCATTGAGTTGGCTCCATCCGTGATATAAGGGTTGAACTTTCTTCATCAATCTTCGTTTCAAAAGATAAAAGCGAGCAAGTCCATTTAAAACCAATTGTGTAGAGTTTGATCCAATTCTTGAGTTGAAATGGATTATAATGTTTTTTGAACAAAGAAAGAAAATTCAAATCTCATTTCTGGATTCTTTAACCTCTTGAACACCAGGTTCTAAAATCTGTTGGAACCAGAGAATTTTTCATTTTTGCCACATTTTGATATTTTACTACATACCTATACAACTTTAGATGCTCAACTTAGTAAAATCAGAAGGCAGCGAGATCATTTCTACCCATTTTAAAACCATCTTTGTGTAAATTGGATGAACATTTTCAAATAAGAACTATCTTAGGAAAAAGTTTTGCGATGGATTTTCTCGTCACTCAGAGTTTTAAGGTAATTTCCGAGGTGACGAGAAATCTCACGCAACTCCAGGTAGGCAAGAGGTTAAATTCCCAAATTATGTTGAATGACGAGGCAATTTAGGTTGCTTTTCCTTCACAGGAAACTTTACAACTGCAATCTGGCAATGATCTTTTTATTTACATTTCTATCATGATATCAAGGATGATACGATAGGATGTCAAGTATCAAGGATTACAATAACTGATTAAGTTACTAATATCATGAGAGGGAGATCAGGTAAGGAGTCCAATGTCCAACTGAATAATACTCAATTAACAAAAAACTGACATTTTATAGGCATAGACAAAATTCACTTTATTTCAGTTGTTACAACATTGCACACTATGCATAACTTACAGCTACAATACACAGAGTAGCCAGGTAAAACTACATTCAAAAATAAATACACAGATATTTCTAAATGGACAAACATTTATTCCTTCTGTTCATAAATAGCATTCATGATGCTAGTGGCATGATATTGTTTTATTTTACTTATTTACTAAAAACACTAAAATGTCTGAATATAGGTTAGTTCAGATCATATTTTATATGGCATGATTGATATTTTTATAATTAAAATTGGCATTAAAGGTCTGGCACTTAAGTAGACGCAATGTCTATAGCTATAGTCTCTGGAGGCTGTCTAATGGTCTATATATCTGTATATGAAGATGTTGCTGGTTACAAGTTAGAGCCTAGATGAAACCTCACATCAATCTTCATACACCCAAGTTGAGCTGCATGGGGTCCAGTCATTAAGTTCTGATTTGTCGAACCAAAGTGCAATTTCGCGTTTGGCTGATTCTACAGCATCACTTCCGTGACATATATTTCTGGAAAACAGATGAAATTGATATTTATTAAAAAATCATGTGTTTGTTAATCAAGGATATTTATAATACTGTACTTCTACTTAATTTGCAGATTTGCCACTTTGAACATTTGTGGGTACTTAATTTGGCGGATTTACACTATTACAATACAATGTACAAATGGTACCAATTTACATAGTACAGCCGCCAAATTAAGCAGTTAAGTAGAAGTACAGTCCACAAGTCTATTAAAATTTTATAATCTGATAGGTAATTCTACATGCTTTCTTGCATCAAAGAGCTCAAAAGCATGGGCCTGCCAGCTACAAGACAACATGTTAAAATATGGCATAGATCTAAGACATTTAACCCTGCTAGCAACAAAGACAACACAGATTAATAAATAAAGCAGGTTGGAGCTTGGATTTTAACTGCTTGAACTAGCTCCTGACTAGGCCATAACTTGCTAACTCACCTGCCGACTTGGATGCAATAATCTCCTCTGATGGTACCAGGCTTGGAGTCTTTGGGGTTGGTCTCTCCCAACATAACTCTTCCTGTTGCTACTGCTCCCATTCCTTCCCACACCTGCGGTAACAATACATGAGAATTTTATAAATACTGTGATGAAGATAAAAATATTGCATATACAAGAGGAAAATTAATGTCACTTGTTTGAGGAATGATTCAATAGTAATAAATAAAAAAAATATGTACTATTCTTTTTGTTCACCCGTTATATTTAATCATATTCATTTTTTTTCCTCACCTTTCATTTATTTGTAAAATTTCTCGAACGCTATATTTGCATAATTTTAACAAATGATAAGAACAATAATGAGCAATAAAACCATTGAAATCAATTAACTAGATAAATTGATTCAATTGATTAATTTACAAGAATAAATACATGGGTGAAAGCCCATGTTTTAAAGAATGTACCTTGCATGGCTTATCTCCCTAATCATTGCCACAGAGTGACTATAGGAAGGTTATGGAATATACAAGGCTATGCCCTCACCAATCCTAGGATTGGGGACAAAGTTGATTTACAACATTGTGGAAAGGGAATTCACCTCAAGTTCTGTGAGGAACATTCAGCTCCCATATGCCACACAGACAGAGCCACAATGTTAACCAGTTAACTGGCGACATATGGATGTCAATGTTGCTTCTATAAAAGATACAAAGGTTCACAAAAATGGCCAATTGAAGTTGAGGGACATTCAGGAGAAAAGCAAAATGCCCCGTAACTTCAATGTGTCACCTGCAGGGTGGCATATTTTTGCTATACCAGGGACCTTTATTATTTCACTAAATTATGTCCCCCTGAAAGAGTTTAAGTGTCAATTACATTTTACATGTTTACATTTTTGATTCTTACCATGCAGACCACTGGGCCTGATCCCATGTAGGCGACAAGTCCTTTGAAGAAGCCCTTGCTACTTAGGTCCTTGTAATGTTCTTCCAAGAGTTCTTTGCTGGCCTACAATATACAAAATAGGGATTGTTTATACAGTCTTGTGCACTGGTCTAAATGTTCATACATGTTGTGTCTCTATTAGTATTACCGTTACGATATTCTATTTAGGGAAGGGATACCCGTAAAATGACAACAAGGTGGGTGAATTGACCATATTTCAATTTTCATACTGTTCACTTCTGGTAGTTGATACTTGATACACTATGAGCTATGACACGGTGTATAACCCAAACGCTCCTACATGCACGACGGAGCGTTTCATTACTGAAATTAAACAAAGAAACGCTCCGGAGTAGGAAAACTGGCTGGCGGGAATGATGAGCCATCTGACGATTTCCCCAATAATGGAAATAAGAGGTATGAGTTCCATATTTCGAGTATACCATTCGATGGGTGTGATATTCATGTTGTACTTGGCTGGCTGTTGACGGTTGAAGCAATTAGGAAGAGCTGTACGAAGCAGTATAGTTATCAAAATTCAAAAACGTATTTGTTATTCTACCGGTCAAAACCCCTTTTGTCGATACATGTGATTAGTTGAGCCAAGATTAGAGCACCAACGTATATTTTAGTCAAATTCCAATGCTTCAACGCACCATACATTATCGTAATAGTGATTTGATGACTGAAAATCCAGTCTTAAAAATGATGACATTCTCATATTCAAGAAACGCTCCGATCTGGTTAACACAGTGAACTGGAAACGCTCCGGTAGTCTAGATCAGTTTAGGAAATATATAGCTTGCCTTTCCCTTTCAGGAAGCGAAAGAAAAGATCTATTATACCCCTTGGCATCAAAAGAAGAAAGATTAATTCACATATAAATTTTAGTTTTTTCTATAGTTTTATGATTTAGCACACATGTAGGCATGGCATCATCTAATGTAGGCTTAAATCAGCTAGTTGCACGTTTAGCACCACCAGATTCAGATGTTTCAATTTGCCTAACAAGTACAACACGTTTTTGAGAGATAGATTCGATTCGGAACTCTTCTCTAATAATCTGAAAATGATATCAAAACAAAATGGTAAGAGCGTTTCTAAAATTGTGTTCTAAATCGACGGAGCGTTTTGAGGAAAACAAGCGATTTCTCGAGAACAAGTAATGGATTTGGACTGGGATTTTAGGAAATGAGAATATACGAGTTTGTGATCTACTACTTAAACAGAAAGATTAACGTTTTCATAGAAATACTAGTTTAATTCGTAATTTGTGGTCAAATCGTCATCTTCAAATTCGTTCGATCTACACTACGGAGCTTTGATCAAGCAAATAACAGTTTACCTCCAGAAGTTGAATAAATAAGATCTTTCCTCACGGTATTGTTCATCGAATGGTACATAATATTTCACCATAACATATGATATGTAAGAGAAACGAGAGAAACAATACTTACGGTCATAGTGGAATCTTCATTAACCGCCATTTTATTTCGCTCCGGAGCGTTTCCGCGTAAATGAAACGCTCCGTCTTGCATGTAGGAGCGTTTGGGTTATACACCGTGTATGAGGCCCGTCCACCAGTTGATAGATCTATTCGACTGACTGCCCGAAGAAACAAACTATTTAAAAAGTTCTGAACAATATTTAATCTTTATCAGAAACCCAATTTACATGGCCTAAAACATAATCCCAGGCTTGGTGTTTATTTATTGTACACTCTGCTTTTATGTACTTATGATCTTTGAGTCAATATGTTTCACCTTTCATACTTATTGACCTTCATTTCCTAAGGAGTCATTGGCTACGTTGAATTTCCGGTTTACATTTTTTCATATCAAAAGATGAAAGCAAGCAATGTATTTCATGAATTTCGTTTCATAAAAACAATAACGTTCACTAAGTTTACAATATTGACAGACTACTTAGTAACACCAGTAGAAATGAGAAACATGAAAAAGGAGACAAAACAAAGTGAAAAAGATGGAAAACTCACAGTTTTTTGTTTCATTGCGACCAATTTGAAGCCTTTCTCCTCAAATCTGGCAATGATTTTGCCGACGAGTCCTCTCTGGACAGCATCGGGCTTGATCATGATGAAGGTTCTTTCTTGATTGGCCATGACTGCGTTAGAAAACTGTGAAAATATAGAGAGAAAAGTGGCAACCATGTGAACCCTTGCCGGCAGAATGAAAAAGAGGCTGATCGGTCAACGTGACTTTGGACGCCACCTATTGGATGTGTTTTCAGTTCCTTTGGTTGTGCTCACGGGTTGCGCTGTGCGGACAATAAATATACATGTAGCAGTAGGCCTACGTAAACATAAACCCATTCATCATATCTAAATTATTGTATAGTAATATAATGATTGATTCTTAAATATTATAGAAATTATATGCAGAAATAACAAGCAAAACGATAGAGCCTGATAAGACACAATGCGAACTCACCTTTTCAGCCTCACGGAGTGATTTCTTCACGTTCTTCTTATAATTCCAATAAACACATATATTGCAGCATCCCATATCTTCTAATACAAAGGAAGGGCAATTAATTTTAAAAGTGTGGTATCCATATGGTACCACACAATCACCGACACACTTTCTTATGTAATGTTATTGTCAGTGAGACCATGTTTGATTGTCTAGTTTATTGGTTTGATTGTTTTTTGTGCTGATAGTAGATAGGAAATGACATGTGAAATGTGCATGCACACCCACATGGAAGAATAACAATAATTAAAAAAGCATCGTCATCTTGATATAAGATAAGACTTTTCAAGGGCCCGTAGGCCAGGCTGTGGGGGGGGGGTTAGGCGGTTTTACTGAAATAATTGTACTGAATTGCCAATTTTGATGATCATTTTTGCTTGTAGTATTGCATTAAGTGGCAAAATATATGTAGATACCACAATCAAAATAGTCTACAACATCTGTTATATTAGGTAGACAAAAATTGAATTGAATTTATTTTTAATGCAGTACAACTGTGAGTGACATGCGTTGTACCATGGGCTTTTAATTAGTTGAAAGCCCTTGGTTGTACCTTGAACAATTAATTGCATTTAGGCCTCGAAAACATATGGCATAGAGATCAGGCCTCCTAGAATTCCAACGCGAACATCAAGTCTGACCTCGCAAACTACATTCCGTGCACTCTAACCACGATTCTCACATCGCGCGCCATCATTTTCTCGCTCCCGAACATATTTCTCTAATCCACTTGTACATAGTTATAACCAGGATCGTTTCAGAGTCCCGGGAGAACGAAATAAAGTGCTTCCAAAAGAACCATCACATTCTGATGGCAACTGAATTTCAATTTCTTATTTCGAATTCTTGACTGGACCATCGTTAAAACTTGCATATCAATAAAATTCCGTTCCAAGACATTCTACTAAGCTTATAGTCATCTCTGAAAGTTGCGACCGCTTACAATCAATTTCCAGAAAACTTCAGAGATCTTTCAGTTCTAGGTGGAATAGGCGACTTCAATTAAAAAGTTGATGATGAATGCATGCAGTTTTAGTTGGACAAAAACTGATCCGATGAAAATAGATGGAGAGAAGGATTTACGACTTCAACTTCATATGAACAAATGATTGATTTGCTAACGTCTTGACGTTTTATATGTGTAAAATGCCATCCTTTGTCAAAGAAAGAGCAATGGTTCGAAATGTGAATGTACTTATCTTGTCTGTTGACAAAAACCGATGGAACTTTGATCTCGAGGACCGGCTTTACTCTTTTAAGACGAATCTCATCTCACTCGTGACATTTTATCCCGTGCCAGGACAAAGTCCTAAGTGACATTGGTAGTCAAACGTACATGTCGCATCTCCATCCTAGAATAAAGCAAAAATCCAGTTTAACAACTCGTGTTTGGTAGTCTATCGCGATATTGTAACTTTAACCAATTCTTGAGTTAAAATGAATGCTTTTTTTCAAATCTGGATCTCAAGATTTGCCAAGACATTGAAATAATTCTGAAATCATGGTGAGACAATTTTATGCGAGTTGGGATTGCTTTTCCTCCACTGTATTTCTAACTGTTGAGGATTTAAAAACTCCCGACTTGGCAACTTTGCCTTAGAAAACCAGCCCAGGATTTTCAGTAGTTGAAATATTTACTGCTATTTTCTAAACTACGATTCGTCTCATATGGTAAGGGAATCATAAAAGAACTTCAGATGATGAGTCAAATTATCAAGGCCCGATGAATAATACTCCTGCCTTTCACAAAAAATCACTTTTAGGTACAGAGGAAATTCGCTTTATTTCAGTCGTTACACCATTGCACACTATGCATAACTTACAGCTACAATAAATAGACTAGCCAAGTAAAACTACATTCAAAATATATCTAGACAAATATTTTCTAAATGGAAAAATGGAAATCCTTGTGGGTTCTCTTGTTATATAAATAGCTTTCATGATGTTTAATTAGTTGCATGCTACTTGACTGATACAACAATATAATGTCTGAATCTTGGTTAGTTCACAGCGCCCGTAGTCAAGAAGGATGGGGGTCGAGGGGACCTCTAAAAGTGGAACACCTCCCAAGTGGAACAGGTTTTATTGTAGCTGATTGTTTCGAGTTAGGAGTCTAGATCTGTTAATGTCGAATCTATTCATATATCCAAGCTGAGTTACTTGGGGTCTGTAAAAGAAATTATGGTCCCCTAGGGATTATGGTCCCCTTTCTTAAAGTCCCTTACTGGCCCTGATTGTGGATACGATAATAAGGGAAAGAGTTGTATTTAGGTCACCATATAAATCAATGGAGAGTAGGACCATAATTTGTAAGGACCTTCTACCCTTTTACACCGGCAATATCAAAATTGTATTGCACTTAGGTTAAATTAAAATCAACAATAACATTTCCTATCATGTGATCTGCATTCAACGAGGGGGTTTCTTTATAGCTTTGAAATCTCGCTAATTCTCGCTAATTCTCCTTTTCCGTTATATTTTAAGGGAATGCATATTAAACATTTAGAGAGTTACACTCCCTTCTTTCTTGTATCATATTTGAATCTTCAACTTTAAAAAGGGTGGACCAAATTTCCGTTGATGCAATGTTAAAATCCTTTAAAACTTTAGCATACTTGTTGAACGTGCAAATTAATCATGATTAATCACAATAAGTTATACATTAAGTGACTATTGCGAGTATCTACCATGAAGCCTATGGTCAGTTAGCCTACAAGACACCACCGATTATTTTATAAAAATCATACATGTAGGCTATGGCATCGAATGATCTGAGACCTTAATTCCACTGGCTATAAGACAACATAGATTAAAAGACATAGCTGGGATGTTAAACCCTGCTTGACAACACATATTAATAAATAAAGCAGGTGTATTTTAACTGCTTAAACTACGAGTATCTCTAGACTATCAGGATATTCGACTTACCTGCCGATTTCGATGCAATAATCTCCTCTAATGGTACCAGGAAGGGATTTAGCGGGGTCAGTCTCTCCCAGCATTAGTCTTCCTGTTTTCACTACCCCCAATCCTTCCCACACCTGCAGTAACAATACATTAGTACCTTATAAATACTGTTATGAAGATCGTACCTATATTTACAAGATGAAAATCAATGTCACTTATTTGAGGGAACAATTGGATTCAACAATATCATTAACATTATATCATTCATCCCTCGTATTTAATCATTCCGTTTTCTTTTATTGATAAATGAAAAGGGGATAATTTTGAAAGTTGTTTTGTGTTATCTAAAACATATTTGAATTGTCATAAAATTGACGATTCCGTCATAGACTGTACTGCTAACAATAGCTATCACCAAAAGATACTGGAGTGCAATGAGACGCGTTAAAAAGTTCAGTCTAGCTACAACTGAGCCCCTGTGACCCCCTCCGACTACTTGACGAGCCTACACTTGCAATAGACCGTGTTGAATTTGATCTAAGGCAACCCTACGGCGGCCGTAGCCTCACAAAATCGATATAGAAAATCTACATCGCAGTGCTTATCCCTATATTTTATGCTGCATATTCCTCTAGATCATTGGGAAGCTACGGTCGCAGAATGGTTGCCGTAGATCCTCGTGCTATCTTCTGTATGAAGACCGAATGGTAGTCCTGAAAATCGCGGAAAAGGTTTTTGGGTCCAATTTCTAAAAGGCAGAATCCGATCTCATGATCCTTTCTTAAAATCTGACTTTATTGACGTGCAAAACCCTAACGAAGGTTAACAATGCTATGAATTAGCTTTTACGGAATGATTGTTTGACCAACTATTAAAAATTTAGACTTTTCCTCAAGGTTCAACTTGAATGTGACGGGGTATTGCTAATGATTATCTTACCATGGCGACCACCGGGCTTGTTGCCATGTAGGCGACCAGTCCATCGTAGAATTTTAATTTCTTCAGGGACTCGTAGTGTTTTGCAAAGAGTTCTTTGCTGCCCTGAAATATACAAATAGAGATTGCTTAGACAGTCGGGTTTCAATATTCCTACATTATGCGTCTACTATAGTAGGCATTAGGAGTTAGCTTGCGTATACAATCGAAACGCCAACGTTAAGGTTGTGAAAAACATTGCAAGCTTAAACTCCCTAGTTTCTGCAAGGCATAGCATTTACGATTATCTAAAAGACGTCCGTCAAATATCAACGAGTTTGGTAAAATTTACCACCCTTCAGTTGATATTCGATGGACTATTTGGACTGTCCCTTTTGCGTTCTGTACATAGATGTTGGCCAGATCGTTTTGTAGTAGGACCTCATACATGTAGGCTAAAAGAATAATACAGGAATATTTATTGAGCTGTTGATCCTACAACAAAATAATCTGGCCGGGATCCATGGTTCTGCACAGTTTTTGATCTTTCTCAAGATGAAATACAAGACTAGTGTCCATTTCACTTTTTTGCTCAATCAATAAAATCAAAAATAAATGGGCAATCACATTGCAGTTTCATAAAGAAAATACTTTTTTGCAAAAACTCACGACTTTTTGTTTCATTGCGACCAATTTGAAGCCCTTCTCCTCAAATCTGCAAATGATTTTGCCGACAAGTCCTCTCTGGACAGCATCGGGCTTGATCATGATGAAGGTTCTTTCTGTCTTGTCACCGGACATGACTGTGTTGGAAAACTGGAAATACAGGGAGTAAAATGGCGACCTATTAGGCCTAGGAAAAACATACTCAGGTGACATTTATTTACTTGTAGCATGGACTCCATGCTTGTAGATGCTGTCGCACTCGCACAAAGGTCTGGAAACAACACATAAGTGAATCAAAGCATCCAGAATACACGGGAGTCTGACTTAAACGCGACTTAAAAATAAAGAGACAGTGGTCCGGAAATAGTACGGATTTTCGATATACTTGGGCACGATTTCTAAAAAAAATCAAAAGATTCCTTTTCGTGACCTTTTTAAAAGTACAATTATTAACTATTTTAGTTAGGGCCATGTAAATGATATGTGGAACCAGTAAAACACCCTTTGTGCAAATGTGTGAACGATAAAGACCATATATGAAATGA